CTTTTGGGTCGTGGGGGAAGACAATTCGGTGGGTGCAGCGCTTCAAGGCTGCCTCGAAGAGGGGGATAATCTCGGCGGGCTCCGTCACCAGGCGGTGTGCCACCTCCTCGTTGAATTTGATCAAGTCGCCAATGTTGACATCGCAGTAGTATTTCTTGAGGAGCGCATTCTCGCGTAATTGGTCTCTGTAGATGAAGATGTTGTCGAGTCGGAAGTCGAGAATGAAGGACTCCAGCAGCGAGCGGACCTGGAGATTGGTGTCCTCGTTCTCGCCAAACGACGACCCGTATATCCGGCTCGAAAATACCGACTGGCGATCCATCTTGGTGTGTCGGCGTGATGATAACGGCGCGGAAAGTCGGGGACAGGAAGGGGGTTCGCGAAGCTTCGTGAGGGGTGTCTGATACTGAGGAGGGGTCGAGTGGGAAAGGGGATGCAAAAGAAATAACGACGCGTCGACGCGTGCAAGCGCGATTTGGGCTGCAGGGATCTTAATGAGACCCCACCAGCCGGGCAGGGGTCCAGTTAGAGGAGGGGCCGTTCTCCTAGAGCGATGCCGCCCGAGAGACAGCTGACTATGCGCTAAACGAGGCGACTTCGAGGGCGTCGTGGCTTTCAAGCAAAGGCCGATTGATGATCGCCGGCGAACAAGCAAGCCAAATAGCTTTTGATGTTGACGACTTCACCTGCGGCGGACGAAAGACCTGGGTCCCGTATACGTCAACATTGGTTTCTCCCATTTTTACACTTGTTTTCTCGACGGCGAACGATGGTTGCAGCGCTTCCATAGCTATGATACCCCGGTGATTTACGACGTTCCACGCAACCTCTCGCCGTTCTCGTTGCTCCCTACGTGCCTCGCATCGCCCTGCGCCCACCGTTGGATGCGCATCTTGCCAGCAGCTTTGAGGGTTGGAGCTGCACTGCGCGAGGTACGAGCTGCGGTCTCTGAATGATCTTGGTGGGGGAGACCCGGAGGAACACCATGTTCTCAAACCAAGGCGCGCGCAAATCCGTCGATAGCCTGTCGCCAACGATTTCGGCCGGGGCCCGGGGCGATTTTCCCTTTCACGGGTACGAGGCGGCGATTCCCACCCGTCCAATTGGGCGAATGCCAGCTAACAGCTTGTAGGAAACGACAGCATAGCCCGCAGCGCACCCATCAGCGGAGGGGTTCCAACGCGAGCTCCATCTACTCGGTGGGGGGGTCACTCGACACGTCCTCGAGCAATCTCGTTGTCGAGTCGGGCCAAAACGCCATCTCCACGCTCCTCCAACCCCCCATAGTGCGGACCGGTCTCCTACCGCACACCGCAGCCCCTGCCTCGAGCGCGCACAAGCCCCCGACCGCGAAGGACATCCCGCCGGTGACGCTCACAAACATCCCCGTGGTCGATTCGTCCGAGTTCAACCCATATCTTTCCCAGGTCGGTGCGCTGTACGAGCATCTACGGCGTGTTCAGGCCGCAGACGACGAAGCGGCGGCCAGCTTGTTCCACCGCAAAGGCTCGAGGCACGATGACTTGGCGGATACGGCCGACGACGGGCATCTGCGACCTGGGAAGCGGCCAGGGGCAACAAGGAGGACATCGACAGCTTCGATCAGCTCGTTGTCCTCGATAGAAGCGCCGAGCCCGATGAGACGCTCCAGCTCGAATTTCAGGAGAGTCGCTGCGCATGGTCCGCCTCCGCTCTCCACAATCCCAACCGTGTACTTTGACGACGACTTCCACCTCGAGAATCCACGGACCTTTGACGTAGTCAGTGAAAGGTCGGAGGTGGTCCGACCCGCACCGGGCACCGAGGACAAGGCGGCCTCGAATGGGCAGGCCGCCGCCCCTCGCAAGGCGCTGGCAACCAACGCCATTCTGCAGGAGAAGCTCTCTTGGTACATGGACACGATTGAGATGCACCTAATTCAGTCCATATCCACCGCATCAACCACTTTTTTCACGGCACTTGGCTCGCTTCGTGAGCTGCACTCGGAAGCAGCCGAGTCTGTCGAGAGGATCAAGGGTCTCAGGAGAGAGCTGGAAGCCCTGGATGCCGAGGTTGCTGCCGGTGGTCTCGAAATCGTTCAGCAACGGCGGAGGCGAGAAAATCTCAAGCAGCTGCAAGATGCGGTTCTGCAACTAAAGCAAATCGTCAAGGGCGTTGCTGCCTGTGAGGCCTTGGTGGATTCGGGAGAAATCGACTCGGCTCTCGACAACATCGACGCCCTGGAAGGTTTGATCTCTGGAGAGGCGTCCGCCGGAAGCGCCCCGGACATCCAGTTGAGGGACTTGCGGGGGGCGACCGCACTCCAGGGCGTGAGCAGCGATTTGGACACACTTCGCCTTCGTGTCGGAAGAGCATACGAGACACGATTCCTTGAGATTTTGGTCGGGGACCTTCGGCGACATGTCGAGCATGTGTCCCCCCAAGAGGTGCTGATGCGTTGGAGTAGTGCTTCGATGCGCGCCCGAGGGGCACACAACCGCGACCCATCCGCCTTTCCATCATACATGTCATCCACAGACCAGCTGAGGAGCGAGCTGTTGTCGAGCTTGACAGGGTTGCAACGAGCAAAGCACCTGAGAGCAGCGGCCGAGACGTTCCGGGAGGCCGTGCTGCGGGAAATTCGCAACATCATCCGCAAGCCTCTGCCAAGCTCCAACGAGGACGACAACGAGTCGATGATGTCCTCTTCGACGTTCTCTGGGGGTAGGCAGCGTTCGCAACAAGAAAAGTCGTCCATCTTGGCACGAAACCTGCGGGCTCTGGACCCCGCAGACGCAGAAGAACTTCTCGTCACTATTTATATTGGTGTCGCAGAGACGCTGAGACGGCTGAGCACTCAGGCCAAAGTATTATTAGACGTTGCCAGCACCATTGGGGAACCGCCAGAGGCCGAGGGCATGCGATCCCCTCCGCTCAGTCCAATGGCACGCCAGACGTCGGCTGCGGGGCTGGCGGCACAGGAGGAAATTCACAGGGCTTTGGATATCTCCAACCTCCTTGGGGAAGGCGTCGACGTTGGCCATGACAAGATTGTGAAGCTGCTGCGAGTCCGCACGGAGCAGAGCACGCACCTGGATCTCAGCTGGTTCTTGCGATACTTCACCCTGAACCTCCACTTTGCAAACGAGTGCGAGGCCATCTCGGGGCGCAGCGGAACTACGCTCAAGACGGTCGTCAACAGCCACATCAAGGACTTTGTCCAGCTTCATGGAGACGCTGAGAAGCAAAAGCTCGCGCAGGGCATGGAATCGGACCAGTGGAACGCCAAGGACTTTGACGATGCCGACACGGCGCTGCTCAACCAAATATTGCAAGGGAGCACCAGCGACGCCTCGGCATGGTCGGAGGGCACAAAGATTTGGATTCCACACCCGGATACGGACGATGAGCCCCAGCTCGAGGCGACGGACGCCAGCCAGTCAAATGGCGCCGCAAAGGGAAAGACTCGGAGCGCCGTTATCGACGAAGAGCCGTATACGCTGCCGAACTCGGCTGTCTTGTGCATGAAGGGCATGGCAAACTTTCTCCACCTGGTGGTTGGCATTCCCTCCATGACAAACGACATTGCGGCGTCGCTGGTCGGGTACCTCCAGCTATTCAACTCTCGTTGCACCCAGCTCATCCTCGGTGCCGGCGCCACACGGTCAGCTGGTCTGAAGAATATCACGGCCAAGCATCTCGCATTGGCATCGCAGGCGCTGGCGTTCATCGCTGCCCTCGTACCACACGTTAGGGAGTTTATCCGTCGTCACTGTGGCTCAGGCCCGACCGTGTCGGCCGTTACGGGCGAGTTCGACAAGGTCAGGCGCTTGCTCCAGGAGCACCAAAGCAGCATCTACGACAAGCTCGTCGAGATCATGACGGGCCGAGCGCTCGTGGCAGCCAAAAAGCTCAAGGGCATAAACTGGGACGCATCGACCAACCAATCGGCAAACGAATACATGGAGACGTTGGCGAAGGAAACGTCGATGCTGCATCGGACCCTGACCAAGAACCTGCCCGAGGGTGCAATGCACCCCATCATGGTGTCCGTCTTTAGCAACTACAAGGACACGTTCGGCAACGCCTTCCGGGGATTGGAAACCACCACCGACGTTGGCCGGGACAGGTACGTATCGACGAGTGCTCTGCAAGCGTGGCATATTGACTGGCAATCAAAACAGCATGCTCCGCGATGTCGAATTCTTCCAATCGCGCCTGTCCAAGATCGACGCTTTTGATGACGCAGCGGACCATCTGTTCAAGATCATCCGAAGCCGGGAGGTCAAGAGCTCTGCCCCGCCAGCCGCAGCACCAGCGCCAGATCCCCCGACGCCGTCCCCGCCAGAACCCACACCTGCTGCTGAGACCGCACCCGCCACCCCTGATGAAAAAGGGGAAGAGAAGTTGTCGGCCGAGTTGCGGGCGCAGGTTGGCGCTCCGCTGGCCAAGTGAAGAGAGGATTCCAACGGTACCTTGTGCATTTGGAGAATGGCAGATGATGACGAACGAAGGTGGCGCCGGCGTTACAGCATCACAACCTGCTGGAGGTACGGGAGCATGATTACATGGCGAAGGGCCCGCTGTGAAGCAGGCGGTAGATAAAGCGCGGGTGGCATATTCAACGAACGGAATGCAGATCTTCTGCCAACCAGTCCATGCCTTGTTCCATGTGATGACCGCAGTGATGAAAGCAGTGATGCAAGAAGCCGGAAAACCGAAAAGCAACGCCGGCAATGTACCACAGCAAGATGGCGAAGAGATGGCAATCAGCCGCCGGGTCTGAACCCGGTGCGGGTGCTCGCCGGAAGGTCGATCCGGGAAGAAGACGGCATAAACGACGAAATAACAGCAGAAGCAAAGAACTTGCTGGAACACCATGATCTGCGAGGAAAAACGGGTATCCCTGCCGCCAGCCCCATTCACATGTCAGGCGGAATCCCCACCAAGCTTGGGCTGACACACCTCCATGCTCGAAAATACCGCAGTCTCCTCCCAACAGGCAGCGACGCCGGCGATTCGCCCGGCTAGCTCAATCGGTAGAGCGTGAGACTCTTAACATCACGTGATCATCTCAAGGTTGTGGGTTCGACCCCCACGTCGGGCTCAATTCCCGTCTTCGCAAGCAGGGCTGCCTTCTTTTTTGCCTTATGATCTGTTGATGTGGATATATATATATATACATACCTCTGGTTGTCTTGCTTTTTGGCCCCGACACAGTTTTGGCATGACGGGCAGGGCTTTTCATGGATTGGGAAGGTACTACCTAGGTACGTGCTCCATTGTACGGAGTAACCTCCGCCCTTCCAATGGTTGAGGTAGTTGGTGGAACCGTGCGGAGCTACACACACCCGACGCCGCAGAGCAAGACATTTCCAGAAGGATTACGCGGCGGCGCGCAAAATGTGTTGGACCTATTCTATGACCGTGGAGCACTTCTCAAAATATCTAGGTGGGCAGCACACATGTGTAACTGGACAATTGCGACCCAGCTCAGCCAGTCACAAAGGGCATCGAGCCCATGTCGATACCCGTGGGAACTCGACACTCTATGCTGGCGGGGACATGGCAACCGACTACGCACCCACGGCTTACACCACCTACGTAGGTGACTCTCCCAGAATCACCGTCGTCATCTCTCCACGTCTCACATCTTATACGGGATTCTCCTGGATCAGAGTTCACGCAACGCAATTGACAACTCACACACAAGCTCACTACGAGTAGCCGTCTCCATTCCCAACAACTTAAACTTCATGCCCCTGGGGGTAAAACCAAGTACACAAACAAAGGATCCACAAGATCCTCTCCTACCACAAAGTCTGTTCTATAAGCGAGTGTCAAGAAAGTTAGAATTCACAACACAGCCCCCAAGCCCACAGCAAAAGGCTAGGCCCGACCCATATCCCATATCCAATGACGCCCGCCCCATTTTCCTTTCCGATCCTGCCCGACCCGTCCATCCATCCCATTTGGCGGGGCAAGAAGGCATCCTAGGAGGTGAGCACCCTCGAGTGCCTAGTAGCCCTGACTGGAGTTGCTCGATCACCCTCCGGCTGGACTTCCTTGCAAAAAAAAACAAAATCCAGTTGCAAAAAAAAAGTCCAGCGGGTATCGTGCCAAAAAGCAAAATGACTCCAAGCATTTTCCGCTCTTGAACCTCTAGAGTCGTTTCGTCGATAATAGAATCGTCATCATGGCGCACAGCGCGTTGTAAGGAAGCTTGGAAAGATGCGCCCCGCCAGCGTGAGATGGGCCAAACAAAGAGAGACGAAGGAATCTGCGCGTGCAATGGGGAGCCGGGACGCAGCGAGAAAAATAGCCTCCTAGTTCTGGGCCCATAGGCCCAGAACCACGCCGTGAGGGAAGGTCTCGTCGACGGAGCGCTTCTGGTGCATGTACTCGCCGTCCGAATCGTCGTCCGAATCACAGTCCGAGTCAGAGTCCGAGTCCAAGTCACAGTCTGAGTCGGAGTCCCAGTCCGAGTCCCAGTCCCAGTCCGAATCGGAATCGTAGTCCCTCTTCTTCTTCCCCTGGCCGCCGAGGGTGGTGATGATGTGGAACTCGGGCGTCACCTTGGTTTGTACGTCATCGGGCAGGTAGTAGGCATGCGGGCAGGGGAACATTTCGCAGCCAGACCTGGGCGACTTGGCCTCGGCGGGATACATGACATGGACGCCGTCGTGGTCGTGCGCGTCGACAATGGCCGAGACGTCAAAGAAGGTCTTGTCCTCGTAACCCTGGAAGGCCACCTCGCCGAGCATGCCGGGCTTGATAGGCGCGCCGTCCGTGACGGACCACACGTTGCCAATCCATTGGTTCGGCATGTTGGTAGAGACCTGACGAAAGCCCTCAACGCGAATGGGGTCCAGCCAGGCGTGGGGCACGCTCGGCGTGAAGTAGACGGTGCGGTCATTCTCATCCATGGAGATGAAGGTGAGGCGGTTCCGCGCAAGTGCGGCCGTGGCAGTTGCCAGGAGAGAGAGCGCCTTGCTGAGCTGCATGTTGATAAAGCTGGTCCCCCCCAAAAAAAGTGTGTCGTTGTGTGTATCCCTGGTGGTAAATACTGAAAGAGTGACTGAACTGAAGCGTAGACCTAACGATGGACTGGCGTGGGTGTGTGTGTGTGTGGGAGACGGTTTCCAAGTCCCGATCTTGAACAAGACAAGCTAATCGGCTTATATGTGGCTCACGGCTAGGGGAAACTAGGTTTGCTCGTCGGCAAAGTTTCTCGTGATGAAATAAGTGGACCGAAGCGGTCGAGAAGCTAAACCAAGCCACCAAGGGGCTGCGTCTCGAAGTGGCAGTTTTTGAAGGAGAATGAGTGGATCCAAAGGAGTGAAGGAAAGTGAGGGCTTGAACTCTAGCAGGCAAAAATGTGGTACAGCGCACTTCGGTCGAGAAGGAAGGTTGAGAGAGCTTGCCAGAGATATATACCGGGAAATGGGGCCACAGATTCTGTACTTACAACCAGGCCGCGAACGGGCCACAGCCGTCGTTCACCCCTGAAGTGACCGACTACATATTCTCGGTGGACCCCATCCGGCGAGAACGGTAGCCGGTTGGACACCGGTTCCGCAACATGGTCCGAGGGGGGTGTGGAGAGGAGAGGAGGAGGCGTCGGTGCCGTGGCAGTTGACCCGCTTCCCAACGATAATAATGCCTGGCTTTGCCGAGTCCCCTTGAGGCTCCCCGTTGCCTAGCCGAGAGGCACGATGGGTCATTGCTGGCTGAGGTGTGAGGGCAGTTGCTGCCCCAGCACTCTGATTTGTATGCCACCTCCTCAGGTTCATGGCCGTGGTTTTTTCTCCGCTCTGCCCATCTTCAGCCCTTCACTCATTCTGGCCCATTGTAGTGTAGCTGCTCTCAAAGCAAAACGTGCATACGGAGCACGCACACGGGAAAGTATGTACGGTCAGCGACCCGGGACCCATTCTTTTTGCAAGATTTTCGAGACATGGATACCGGATTGGACGAGTGAATGAGGTGTGGTGGGAACGCCAGAGCCGTCGTTGAGACAAGGCTTGGCCCCTGGGCCGTTTGCCAACTTCAAGCACCAGAGGGCAGAGCACGCCCGGTTGGGAGAGTGGCCCTGCTCCGGGATTCGTCGTTGCAAAGTTGAGCTGCAGTCCGATGTTCAGGCACATATGGCGTGCGATTGGCCAAGCCAGAATGTGTTGAGCCGGGTACCTGACAGGAAACATCCCATCTTCTTCCGGACGCTGACAGGGCACAACCGGGAAGAGACGGGCTGGGCTTTGAGCGGCAGCTCAATGATGAACCGACCAGCGTGCCGGCCGGCTGGCTCCTGATGGAACCACGTAGTTGCAGCGCAGTTGACGCCGTGCCGCGCGAAACCACTTCAGACCCGGGGCACTGCGGACGCCTCGGTTGAGAATAACAAACGTTTCGGCCAGTCCCCTCAACTCGAGCGAGACACAGAGTCAGCAAGTACTTCCCCCCTCCTCCTCCCCACCTCACAGCGGCGGTAAGCTTCAGTGGCGGCTCCGGGCCCGGGGAGGTTTTCTCCCGACGCGGGCGGACGGGCAATATGGAATGGCTGAGATGGATGTGTCCAGACCAGCAAGCAAGCATGTGCTGCTCTCGGCGGGACACCGTTGCTTCGTTGATCGGCGCTCCAAAAAAGAAGCTTGGAAGGTGACGCGCCCATCGGGAGAGCCTGCCTATACCGCGAGCACTCTGCCGTCGACCAGCCATCCAACGTGGCAGGTCGCTGACAATCACGCACCTCGACCGGATTGCAGATTGCAGATTGCAGAGCCTGCCATATCTTGCCGTCTTGGTTCCATCCTCGGATGTTCGGATCTGAGAGGGCTGCAGACAACCTGGCTCGGTTCCAAAGCTTCAGCGTCGTAACCTTGAGTTTGTACCGAGCTTGATGCAGGGAGCGTCGCGGTGCAAGGCATGCTGCGGGTGCCTAGAAGCCACGACTGTGCATGCAGCTCGTTTGTCGGCGACGGCAGTGCGAGAACGTCTGGTGAAAAAAGTCGGGCGGGGTGCCGTCTATTGCCTCACCGCTACAGGGCAAGTGTGGGACGGCTTGAGGTAAAAAAACGAAAATTGCTTCCGGCCCGCCGAGTTTTGGCAAATGGGCGATCTTCAGGATCCGTCAACCAGGCACCATCACAAAACGGGCTGAAGTGATGATGAGATGATCGAAGTGAGCCCTCCCCCCGAGTGACCCCGCAGCGGGGTTCTCAACCTGCGGGTGCTCGGGGGACGTTTCCTCTCTCAACTTGTGTCGGGCGTCTCAGGATACTGTCAAAGGGACGTTTGATCCAGGAGGTTAGGAAAATATCGTACTGGTGCATCATTCATTGTATTCGCATTCTTGACTGCTAGTCTCCGAGATATTGTAGAGGGCGGTAGACTCAAAACCGCTCAGTAGACATTCGCTCCTGGCCGAGCCTTCCTAGGTTTGTAAGCCTACGGGTGTAAGCGGGCGAGCAACACCAAGCCATCCAGCTCATCTTGTCCAACTCTTCCTTCAGCGCCCGCTCAGCGAAATAAAGGCTCACTGCTCCCTCGCAAGGATGATGCTGTCATGTTTGGTGCTATCTGACAGTGTCTCAGCCAGCCATCCAACCCGACAACTCGTGGGCTCCGAAGATCCTATCATAACTCTTTTCGTCATCCATGGTGCTGCGTCAAGGGCGCCTTCTCCTGTTCCCCATCCTAGACGCCGTTGCGAGACGAAATGCTGTCATCAGGTAACGAAAGGCAATCCTGATACCCGGTCGGCGCCGTCCTCCGAGTTCCGAAGAACTCGGGCCAAGGTAATCATGTTACTCGCGCATGAAGTCCTCATCCTCCTCGTTCTCGTCTTCAAATTCCTCTTCTTCTTCTTCTTCCTCCTCGTCATCGGGCTCTTGGTGTGCCCACCCCATCACAAATGCGGGTTCGGGAGGGAGGTACCGCACCAGCATACTTGCGCTCGCAGAAAGGACTCGCCTGATGGGGGACTTCTAGCCACCTCTCCCGTCAGGGTTTTCCATCATCGCACGAGCCTCGCGGATCAACGCCTTTGCCTCTTCCACCTCGACGCCATCCTGGCATAACTCAGTCGCCAGCCGATTCGCCGTAGCA